AAAGCGTTCTATAGAGCCAATTAAAATAAATGAATAGACACCTTTTTGTACCAATGTGGAACTTTAAGGGGAAATTAGGTACGGATTCATCATTTGGTCGTTGAAGTCCACCCCTCCCATGTTAAGGGTATAGTCATGGACACAGAGGGGCTTCTCAACGCCAGCTGCTGTGCTAATCTTGGTCATTGTGTCTGCGTGAATGGAAGACCGGACGAAAACATCCTGATTTGTCCTTCCACTTCACTGCAAGCAATTCATCATTTCTCAAGAAGGCTTTCTCCTCCTTTCTAAGTCAGGTGTTCACAAGCTGTTGAGGGAAGCCCTGGCAATTAGGTCACATGGTTTCCACATGAGCCAATTTCAAGATTCCACAAATGTCTAAATAGTAGCTCGCTTTGTCTAAATAGTGCTCGCTTGTATAGACGTTGTCCACATACAGCTGCAAGAAAAAGTATATGAACCCCTTGGGATTACATGGAGTTTTGCATGAATTAGGCATAAAATGTGCTCCGAACGTCATCTAAGTCACAACAATAGAACAGTCCTGCTGAACATAATACTACACAAATATTAGATGTTGCCATGGTTTAATTGCACATAACATGTAAACATTCACAGTACAGGGAGAAAAAGTATGTGAGGCCCTAGCTTAATGACTTCTCCCAGAGCTAACTGGAGCCAGGAGTGAGCCAACCTTGACTCCAATCAGTGTGATGATATTGGATGTGTTGCTGACAGCTGTCCTGCCCTTAAAAAAAAACACACACCTGTTTTGGGTTTACTGGTTTCAAGAAGCACTGTCTGATGTGAACCATGCCTTGCAGAAAAAGAGCTCTCAGAAGACCTACGATCAAGAATTGTTGACTTGCATGAAGCTGGAAAGGGTTACAAAAGTATCTCCAAAAGCCTTGATGTTCATGTGTCCACGGTAAGACAGACTGTCTACAAATGGAGAAAGTTTAGCACTGTTGCTACTCTCCCTAGGCGTGGTCGTCCTGTAAAAATGACTGCAAGAGCACAGCGCAGAATGCTGCATGAGGTAAAGAAGAATCTGAGTGTCGGCTAAGAAATCTCTGGCACATGCTAACATTTTTGTTGACACATCTACAATAAGGAAAACATTAAACAAGCATGGAGTACATGGGAGGACACCATGGAGGAAGCTATTGCTGTCCAAAAAGAATATTGCAGCACGTTTGAAGTTTGCAAAAGAGCACCTGGATGTTCCACAGCACTACTGGCAAAAATATACTGTGGACAGATGAAACCAAGATTGAGTTGTTTGGGAAAAACACACAACACTATGTGTGGAGAAAAAAAGGCACAGCACACCAACATCAAAACCTCATCCCCACTGTAAAACATGGCGGAGGGAGCATCATGGTTTGGGGCTGCTTTGCTGCCTCAGGGCCTGGACGGATTGTTGTGATTGATGGGAAAATGAATTCCAGAGTTTATCAAGACATTTTGCAGGAAAACGTAACGACCATCTGTCCGCCAACTGAAGCTCCGCAGAGGATGGGTGATGCAACAGGACAATGACCCAAAGCATACAAGTAATTCAACAAAACCATGGCTGCAACAGCACAGAATATGCCTTCTGGAGTGGCCCAGTCAGAGTCCTGACCTCAACCCGATTGAAATGCTGTGGCATGATCTGAAGAGCGATTCACACCAGACATCCCAAGAATATTGCTACACTGAAACAGTTTTGTGAAGAGGAGTGGTCCAAAATTACTTCAGATCGTTGTGCAGGTCTGATCTGCAACTACAGGAAACATTTGGTAGAGGTATTGCTGCCAAAGGAGGGTCAACCAGTTAACTCCAAAGGTTCACATACTTTTTCCTCCCTGCACTGTGAATGTTTACATGTTATGTGCAATTAAACCATGGCAACATCTAATGTTTGTGTAGTATTATGTTCAGCAGACTGTGTTCTTCTATTGTTGTTGTGACTTAGATGACGTTCAGAGCACATTTTATGCCCAATTCATGCAAAACTCCACGTAATCTCAAGGGGTTCACATACTTTTTCTTGCAACTGTATGTGGTACACTTTGCAGAACAAAGATGACACCAAGTCCCATACTATCTTGCCACTGCTCCCCATGTTAGTCTGGCAATCGGGCGGCGTACTTCACGGTCTCTTCCCTCATAAACCTTAAAATTGTATCTATATATGGAAAGACCCTCTTTTTGTGGGACTAAATGCACAGACGAAACCAATAACTACATAGAAACAATTAAAACTTAATCGACCATATTTTATTTATACAAAATGTTAAAAAGAACATATAGGCACAAAATATGGCGGTAATACATGATGAGGCTGTCACAGTAAACACATGGATGAGAAAAACACAAAGTGAAACGTGCATGCACTTGACTCGTTTCGAGACTTGCTTATAGAACACATTACACCTATAATGAATATATAATTATCATATCTTCATATATCTCCAAAAAGGAGTTACAATTTCAAATGCACAATTTGCACTTGCATAGCCCCACGTAGGGGCGGAGAACTTGAGGAAGCTGCCAATTGACTAAAACCATAAATAAAGTAAATGTGGCCAATATCTCCAAGATCCTCCCAGGCAAATGAAGAGAAAACAGACACCGCCCCACTCGCCTACAAGAGAAACCCCTTCATGGCCCCAAAGGGGCGACCATTGGGGATGCCCAATTCCAAATGATTCCTATGGAAATATATACAATAAAAAACTGACAAAGTGGTGGTGCAGAAAAACATGAGAAAATCCAACTTCTCTATTGTAGAGACAGCAAAAAATGCTTACGGAGAAGGGAAATCTAGCAGATCCTGCTCAATATTAGATAATGGTATATTATCAAGGTCCTAACTAATAGGATGGGAGAGTTCTCTGGTATTGTGGATCTATAAAAAATTACAAATGCTTCATTCAATAAATGGTGTATTAACATGCCATTTTAAAAAAAAATTCCCAAACATATCCAAAGGGTATAACCTACCAAATAAGAGGAGATGATGTATAACCTATCCATTGGCTGCACATACGGTTTAAAGACCCACAAGATAGCGTTTATATAACAGGTGGATAGCTTAAAATTGCACCAATCCACCAATTGCAACATGTTAATACCAATTGGTATTAACATGCCATTTGAAAAAATTCCCAAACATTTATTGAATGAAGCATTTGTATTTTTTTTATAGATCCACAATACCAGAAAATTCTTCCATCCTATTAGAACCTTGATAATATACTAGTAACTATCTAATATTGAGCAGGATCTGTCAGATTTCCATTCTCAGTAAGCATTTTGTTCTCTCTACAATAGACGTTGGCTTTTCTCATGTTTATTGTGCATCAACACATTCTGTCCATGGTGTTGTGTTTTTTTTTTTTAGCTCATTTATATATTTCCATAGAAGTCGTCATTTGGAATTAGGCATCCCCAATGGTCACCCCTTTGGGGCCGTGAAGGGGTTTCTCTTGGAGGCGAGTGGGACGGTGTCTTTCTTCTCTTCCTCCTTTATTTCTTCATTTGCCTAGGTTGTTTGCTGGGGAGGTACGGTTTGAATGCAAGGTGGCCTGTAAAGTGAGTGAGAAACTTATCCACGCAGATGTTTTGCGGGGGCGTATACACATCTGCAAGTTTCTCTGTGAGGTGTTTTACAAGGGGCTGAATTTTTTTGTAGAGCCGGTCATGTTCAGGTCACCCCAAGGACTACAGAGTGTTATCACTGAAAGGCATAAAGTGCATTGTCATCTCATCTCATATCTACGCCTGGCCATGGCAGCAGAGAACATTATGATGAAGTGGGTCTGACCAATATGACCAACTCATCCTTTTTTGTAATGCCCATGTTGAGAGTTAGGACCAAAAAAGTTTTTTTAATTTGGAAACAGAGGTTTCCATGCAAATGGTCTGGCAAGAGCTGATTTTGGGTTGGCGGCGATAAAAAGTTTGTGCGTATAAATTGCTTTGGCCCACAATCAAACTGTTGTTGCTGCTGTTTCCACCTGAATTCCGGGTTGGGCAGTGAATGGGTGGTGGGAGTACGGTGCTGCAGAATCTGTGGGCTGCCAATCAGGATTTTCAAGCACGTCTGGAAGGACTCTATGGTCCTGTGTTTGCATTCTTGGTGGCAGTGGGACACTACTTGTGCTTGCCACCTCGCCAGCTTGTACTGCACTTATGAGACCAAGTGATACTGCAGTGCTGGTATGAAAAAGACCAGGATATACTAGGCTGCTGGTACTTGCCAGTTCACCAAAAGGTAGAGTGACACTACTACTGGCATTCTGCTGCATATGAGAACAAGTCATGCATTCCTAGCACTTCAGCTTCATGGGTCGGGAATGCCTGATCTTAACAGGGACCTCTTCTCTATGGTCCAAGCTATCTGTCAAGGTGCAGCTGCTTTCTACAGATACGTATTCTGAGGTGGATTCTGTCAGAGGCTTCCCCTTCGCTCTCAACTGACATGCTCAGAAATCCTGTACACCTTCACTAGCGTACCTATTTTGGGCTCTAAACTTGCAGGTACCTAGTGCAACTCATGGGAAAGAGCACATACTTGAACCCGCTCCTAATAAAATTCACCCTGCCTAGTGCCTAGCACAGATCAGTCCTAATTCCTGCAAACCCTGAGGTTTAGTGTGCAATGTATCACAGGTAGTGCAGAAATTACACTGACCACTGCACTTCTTGTTTAGGTGTGTGTGTATTGGGGCAAATCGCAGTGAACAAGGCTGTTCCTGTTAACACTGCATTTTGGGGGACACTTATACTAAGGGGGCACTGGTATAGTTCTGTTTCATGATCAATATATTGATCCATACAAACTATACTAGTAACGATGGTGATCAGTAGAGAATGAGCGAAGAAATGAAAAATTCGATTCGACTGATTCGGCGAATTCGTGGACAAGTGCCCCCGAAATTCGATTCGAGTCGAATAAATTCGCTGTGGAATTTAACTTAAAAAAGGGGTTTCTAGGCTTCAGAGAGCCTTTATATTAGTGCAGAACACTGTACCTTTAATTTAAATGCCCTTGGAGTCTGCTGGGGAAGAGAAATAATACTGTCAGTCAGTATGACATGCAGATGAGTGCCGTCGATCTTAGAATCACCGCACACTTCACATCATTTGGGCAGTCACGGGGCCAAAACCAGAGTGTGGAGCCACAGTGTGGCGGTGAGGCAGCAGCAATGGGAGGCCATACAGCACCCTATGACAAAAATGGAAACCACACCAGCAGTGTGAGAGACCTGAAAGTGGCACATGGCAGAGTGTGGCGATAGAGACAGCAGCAATGGGAGGCCGTACCAGGGACCCATGACACACTCAGGACCTGGCAGCAGCATGAGGAGCGGTACAGGGGCCCATGACAGATTAACGGGCCTGGCAGCAGCATGAGGAGTCGGTACGGGGGCCCATGGCAGATTACGGGCCTGGCAGCAGCAATGGGAGGCCGTACAGGGACCCATGACACACTCTGGACCTGGCAGCAGCATGAGGAGGCGGTACAGGGGCGCATGACAGATTACGAGCCTGGCAGCAGCAACTGGACAGGAGGACGTTCCAGCTTCTGCAAACCGTCGGGTGCGTGCTCACAAACTGTTGTCTCTTGGAAACGGATTTCCAAGAAAGACTGCTGACGGAATCCGTGAAGAGTAGCAGCAGGAGAAGGAGCATCTGAACGAGCGAATATGCCAACAAGCGACAACAGGGGCCCATGTCAGATTACGGCCCTGGCAGCAGCAATGAGGAGTCGGTACGGGGGCCCATGGCAGATTTAGGGGGCCTGGCAGCAGCTATGGGAGGCCCGTAATCTGCCAGCACCCTATGACAAAAAATGGAACCCACCAGCAGTGTGAGGAGACCTGAAAGTGGCACATGGCAGAGTGTGGCGATGGAGACAGCAGCAAATGGGAGGCCGTACAGGGACCCATGACACACTCTGGACTTGGCAGCAGCATGAGGAGGCGGTATAGGGGCCCATGGCAGATTAGGGGCCTGGCAGCAGCTATGGGAGGCCCGTAATCTGCCAGCACCCTATGACAAAAAATGGAACACACCAGCAGTGTGAGGAGACCTGAAAGTGGCACATGTTTGGGGCATGATTTCATGGCGGATTTAGTCAGTTGTGTCAGGAACTGGTGGTTTGAAATCCAGACTAAATCGACGCCTGATTCATTTTCACAAACGTGAGTCTCCTCCACACTTTGGGTGACAGTCGTGTCCTCCGCGGAGTTGTCAATACCTCCTGCCGCACTAAACACGCGCTCCGATGCCGCCACGACGCTACTGGCCGGCATGACAGCCTTTCAAGGGCAAATTCAGCTAGTTGGGGCCAAAGGTCAAGTTTTTCGTTGCCAGTAGTCAAGGGGATTGTCTACCTCCGTTGGCAGGTGCTTCCAAGTAGGCCCAAGCCTGTTTGAGGTCCTGCTCCAGGTCCACCTGATGCTGCTGCTGCTGCGGCTGGTTAGTATAGTTTCCTCACTGCGCTGGTGAAGAAAGCTACTCATCATCGACTGCAGACTGAGGCAGCCGCTGCTGGTGGAGCTGCCACTGCTCCTACCACCCCACCCCTCCCCTGCTGCCATGGCAGCGGAACGCGAGCGCACAGGGCCCACAATGTCTGAGGATGGACGTTGGCGCACAAAGGCAGAGACCAACTGACTACATAGGTGGTTTTTATAGTACGTTATTTTGGCCCCCCCTCTCAGCAGGTGTGAAAAAGGCCACCATTTTTGAACGGTAGCGAGGGTCCAACAAGGTGGACAGCCAAAAGTCATCCCTCTGTCTGATGGTTATTATATCGGACCTGTCGCTACGCAAGCAACCGAGCATGCTATGGGCCTATTTTGTGCCAAGGAATGCGAGGGACACCCTGCCTCCATCTCCACAGCATACTGCCCAAACGGTGCGTCTGGGTCCTCTGTCTCCTCCCTCCTCCTCCTCTACCAGATGCTCCCTGCTCCTCCACTCCTGCCCGCTGAGTGGAAAAACCACCCATTTCACTCAATAATTCCTGAGCACAAATGTCCTCCCTCTACCTCCTCCTCTTCTTCCTGTCCTGCCCCCACACAGGGGTCATGTGGCGTTGAGATCTGTGCGCTACGTCTACCGCACCTACTGACCAGCCATTGTTAACAGCATTTGTTCAAGGACGTGCAACAGAGGAATGACGTCGTTCATCCCATAGTCCCCTGCCACTCACGAATAGCGTGGCCTCCTCAAAGGCCTGAGCAAGCGCAGGGTGTCACGCATGAGCTGCCAATGGCTGACATCGAAGTTTACACAGGGGAGTACCTTTATCCGCTTGTAAACATCAGGAAATCGGTGATGGCCTTTCGCTGCTCGTAAAGGCGATCTAACATGTGTAGGGTTGAATTCCACCTTGTTGCAACGTCGCAGATCAGGCGATGATGTGGAATTCCGTTCTGGCCGCTGCAGCTCAAGGAGGGTGTGCTTTGCGTGTAGGAATGGCTGAAATGCATGCAAAGTTTTACGTGACATTTTAAGGATGTCTTGCAGTGGGATGGTGGATTTTTAGAACCGTTGACAACCAGATTGAACACGTGAGCCATGCAATGGCGCATTGGCACAACCTTCCTTGACGCAGAGCAGACACCACGTTCTTTCCGTTGTCGTGTCAACATGGTTCCGATTTTCAGTTTGCGCGGAGACAGCCATCTGTCAATTTCTCTGTTCATTACACTCAGAAGTTCCTCCCCTGTGACTACGTCGCCAAGGCATACCAGGTGCAGCACAGCGTGACACCGTTGCGCCCTGCACATGTGATATGCCGGTCGGGTAATGGGACCCTTGGCACGGGGGTGGCGCGGCTGAGGACACGGCGGAAGAAAGAAGGTGGTAGAGGCGGACATCTTTGCCGAACCAAGGACGTGCAAACGTGGAGGCAAAAGCGGCGTGACCTGTCCAAGTTGCTGGTGGCGGGCTGTGACGGCACCACGTTCACACCCAGTGGCCGTAAATGACATGTACTGTCCCTTACCGTAGTTTACAGCTCCACACGTCGGCGCTGCCGTGCACTTTGGCATAGACCGACATGCTCAAAGACTGGCCCACCAATGTCTTACTACATGTGAATGCAGGGCTTGGCACTGCCTTTTGGCGAAGAAATGACGGCTTGGCACTCTCCACCGGCGCGCGGCACAAGCCATCATTTCTCTGAAAGTGCTGAGTCCACCACTTGGAAAGGAGGGACTGCAGCACCAGCAACTTGGACAGGAGGACGTTCAGCTTTTGCACCGTCGGGTGCGTGCCTCGCAAACTGTTTGTCTCTTGGAAACGGATTCCAGAAAGACTGCTGACGGAATCCGTGAAGAGGAGTAGCAGGAGAAGGAGCATCTGAACGAGCGGAAGATGCCAACGAGCGACAACTCCCCCTCAGCAGAGGTGTTTGGAGCCTTGAATGACTGGCTGATGGAGGGCGATTGACGTCGGGTGACGGAGCAAGTAACTGGAGCCGGGGGGGGGGGGTGATGAGCGGGGCTGGGGCGGGCAGAACCGCCGTATCTTTATCACTGTTTTCCCAGGCCACCAAATTGCGACGCTGCATATGCTGCCGCAACGCTGTAGTCCCAACATGGGCCCCCCCTGGCCACGCTTGACTTTCAGGCCACATAGTCGACAGACGGCTAACTATTTACTCCCCCTCGGGCGGCTTTGACCGAAAAATTGCCACACCGCCGAGTAGGAAAACATTGGCCCCCGATACACCTCACTGGCTGACTGCTGCTTTCCCTCGTGCACACCGGCACCACTACTGGCCCGTGGTTGGTAGGCCTGGCAGTGGAGCTGGTGCTCTACTCCGTGGCCGTTTGGCCTCCACTGACAACTAGCTTCCACTGACACACTGCTGCGACCCTGCTGCTCGGTCATCCCTGGCAACCCACCCGGACTGTGTTTCGCTCACTGCCAAAGCTGCCGACCCACTTCCTCCTGATGATGCGGAAGAAATTGCCTGATGACGACGAGGCTGCCAAGTGCATCAACCTCCTCATCTATCAAGTAGGGTCTCTCCGCCTCACTACAGCCCCACTCGGCTTGCGTCTGGGTCAGGAGACAGACCTGTCACTAGACCGGCTACCAGGCCAGTTCTCCTCGCCACTACTGTTCCTTCGCACTGGCTGCTGAACAAGGCGGATGTCCTCCACCCGTTCCTGACCTGCCCCTCTGTTAGCTTCCTTCCTCACTGTACAGTGGGGCTGAGCCCAAACGAAACACACCCAACCACACAAGCAAACACAGCCACACATAACCACCATCCCCGACTCCACATACGACCCAACAGGAATAAACCACCCAAACCAAGGGGGGATAACACAACATCAAACAATCACCACCACACCAACCAAACAAAAAACAAACACTACCAACAAACAAAACACTGAACAAAAATACCAATAACATGGACAACCACCAACCACATGACGATAACTTCACTTGGTGAGGGAACCCAAAGACAGGGCAGTAGAGGACACGTGAATTTCAGTGGGCTGGTCCCGGCCCATGCCAACTAACGGTTGTGTCTGACGTACCCACCGGACCGTTTGGCTGTAAGTGTGTACAGAGGTGACCTGGGAAGAGGAAGACGACCGAGCCAACCAATTCGATGACGGCAAGGTTTTGTCCGGTGGAGACACGACCCGCTTGAATGACACCAGGAGCACTTGCCTCCTGGCTGCGAATTGTACTGCCTCGACCCGCTTACCTCCTGGCTGCCACGTCTGCTTTTCGCTCCTAAAACATGCCTCCTCTGCCACTCTCCTCTGCATTGTTGTCTGACATACCTTCTTTTAATTCACAACGATTCTTGTGTGCGCCTGAGTAACCATCTGCAGGTCCCTGAGTAACCAAGTCTGTGTCCCCTGAGTAAATCAATTCTGTGTCCCCCTGAGGGGTTTTTTACAAATTCTGTGATCACTAGTAACAATTTCTGTAGTCCCTGAGTAATCAATCTTCTGTGTCCCTGAGTAACAATTCAGTGTCTGGTCCCTCAGTAACAATATGGGGTCCCTAAGTAACGTTTTCTGAGGCCCTCATAAACCATTACTGTGGTCCCCCTGATTAACGTTTATGTGCCCTAAGTAACGGTTTTAGTTTTTTTTTTTTTGTTTTTTTCGTTTTTTTGTTTTTTGTCCCCCCCCCCCCCCCCTCCATAACGGTTTTGTGGGGGGTGGCCCCCTCAGTAAACGGTGCTGTGGCCCCTCAGTAACGGTTTCTGTTGGCCACGCAGTAACGTTTTCTGTGGACCCCAGTAACGGTTCCTGTGGCCCCTCAGGTAAACGGTTTCTGTGGCCCTCAGTAACGGATTTCTGTGGCCCTCAGTAACGGGTTTCTGTGGCCCTCATAACGGTTTCTCGTGGCCCTCAGTAACGGTTCTGTGGCCCTCCAGTAACGGTTCTGTGGGCCCTCAGTAACGGTTCTTGTGCACTCAGTAACGGTTCTGTGGCCCTCCGTAACGTTACTGGGCCCTCAGTAATGGATCTGTGGCCCTCAGATAAACGGTTCTGTGGCCCTCACTGTAACGGTTCTGTGGCCCTCAAGAAAACAATCTTGTGTCTGTCCAGGAGTAACACTTCTGTGGCCCTCAGTAAACGGTTCCACTGTGGCCCTCAAGAAACAATTCGTGTCCTGTCCATGAGTAACAAATTCTGTGGCCCTCAGTAACGGTTCTGTGGCCCTCAAGAAACAATTTCTGGTGTCCTGTCCATGATAACAATTCGTGGCCCTCAGTAACGGTTTCTGTGCCTCAGGGGGGGGGAGAAACAATTCTGTGACTGTCATGAGTACAAATTTCTGTGGACCTCAAGTCACGGTTTCTGTGGCCCTCAGTAACGGGTTTCTGGTGGCCCTCAGTAACGGTTTTCTGTGGCCCTCAGTACTGTTCTGAGGCCCTCAGTAACGTTCTGTGGTCCCTCAGTAATCGGTTCTCGTGGCCCTCAGTAAACGGTTTGCTGTGGCCCTCAGTAACGGTTCTGTGGCCCTCACAGTAACGGTTCTGTGGGCCCTCAAGTAACGGGTCTGTGGCCGCTCAGTAACGGTTTCTTGGGCCCTCAGTAACGGTCAGTGGCCCCTTCCAGTAACGGTTTCTGTGGCCCACAGTAACGGTTCTCTGTGGCCCTCAGTAAAAACGGTTCTGTGGCCACTCAGTGAACGTTTCTGTGCCCTCCAGTTAAACGGTTCTGTGGCCCTCTGAACGGTTCCTGTGGCCCTCACAGTAACGGTTCCTGTGGCCCTCAAGAAACAATTTCTGTGTCTGTCCATGAGTTAACAAGTCTGTGGCCCTCCATAACGGTTCGTGGCCCTAAGAAACAAATCTGTTGGTCCTGTCCATCGAGTAAAACAATTCTGTGTGCCCTCAGTAACGGGTTCTGTGGCCCTCAAGAAACAATGCTGTGTCTGTCCATGGTAACAATTTTTCTTCCCCCCCCCCGTGGCCCCAGTAACGGTTGTTCTGTGGCCCCTCAGTAAACCGGTTCCGTTGCCCCTCAGTAACGGTTCTCTGGTGCCCGCATAAACGGTTTCCTGTGCCACTCAGTAACGGTTCTTCTGGCCCTCCATAAACGGTTTCTGTGGCCCTCATAACGGTTTCTGTGGCCCGTCAGTCACGGTTTTCTGTGGCCCATCAGTAACGGTTTCTGTGCCCTCAAGTAACGGTTCTGTGGCCCTTCAGTAACGGTTATGTGCCCGCAGTAACAGGTTCGTGATGCCCCTCAGTAACGGTTCTTGTGGCCCTCAGTAAACAGTTTCTTGTGGCGCCTCAGTAACAATTCTGTGTCCTGTCCCCTGAGTAACAATTCTGTGGCCCTAACTAAAGTTTCTGTGGCCCTAAGTAAACAATTCACCTGGCACTCAGTAACAATTCTGTGTCGGTCCCTGAGTAACATTTCTTGTGGCCCCTAAACGAGCGTGTCTTTCTTGTCCCCCCCTAAGTAAACGATTCTGTGGCCCTCACGAATTAATTCTGTGTCCCTGAGTAATGTTCTCTGTCCCTAAGTAACGTTTCTCTGCTGCCCAAGTATCGTTTCCTTGTGGCCCTCAACCTCTGTCCCTCAAGACAGATCGGATCTGCCTCTGTTCCAACTGACTGCAGGCAAATGAAGAATTCCAAAATGGCCGCTAATTTATAGCTCGACCATTACACAGTGCTGGCTGGCTGGCTGCTGATTGGCTGATTGCGATCACATGTCATTGAGAAATGCATTATGGGTCAGCGCGCCTTGTCTGCGCGCCTTCCCAGACATCCCCGCTCCCGTCGCCGCACATGTCCGCCGCCATTTTCGGAAAAATTTTCGATTCGCGCGTCCGAAAGTAGGCTATATTTTTTCGGATTCGGCGCGAATCGAAATTTTTTCCGATATTCAAAACTCTAATTCCACTTCGGCTACTTCGATTCGCTCATCTCTAGTGATCAGCAACCTATAGTGTTTTGGGCAATCTAACACTAGCTGGACTCTGGCTGGGAGGGGCGCTAACTGACTCTGACGCTATCTGATGTCTCTAGTGGCCCTAATACAGTGATCAGTGAAAAATAATATACACTGACACTCTACTAATTGGCACTGGAAGGGTGATGGGGGGAAGATCAAAGGTTTGAATATGGCAATCAAGGGTTAAAATGTTTTCGGTGTGGGGTGCAAATATGCTGCTTTTACTCATGTGTAGCTTGTCCTTCTCTCACTGGGACAAAATGGTTCCAGGGAGAGAAGATCCAGCTAGATCTTATGCCTGTATCTACAAATACAGGCATAGCTCTGCTTCTCCATTTGCTGTAGGAGATCAGCAGAGTCCCAGCCAAAAATCACTGGCCGAGACCTGCGGACAAATATGTCCTACAGCGAATGACAGCAGGGGTTAGTGGGGGTGCTTGCGCATGCGTGCGCCAAACCCAAAAACAAACAGTGATGTACGGGTACGTCGCTGGTCCTGTAACTGCCACCTGTTCACAGTACATTGTGGTCAGATGGAAAGTGGTTATAGATAGGCACACCATGGTATGTGTTTTTTTACCTGTTCAAGTACCCTGGTGTGCAGTTTTTGCCTCTGCCCTTTGCACTGAGTGTGCTTTGTGGAAGTACTCATTCCACAATGAAGCAAATTTCTGGACAGCCAGGCTGGCTCCTACCTTCACCATGCTGATAGTGTATGTCCTTGGTGCCCAACCTGCAACCCAGGGGCCTCATGTGGCCGTTTGGCACACCTGCAGAGCCTTATCTGTGTTTCCCTATTGCCCTGTTATCATAGTGGTCTCTAGCAGCCTCATGTAATATCCCCAGCCTATGACTGTCTTATGAAGCATATCCCTGGTCTCCATAGCATGTTCAGTCTCGGTCCATCTCGGTCTGCAATCCTCGACCAGCTCCTGGAAGTTGGATTTAGGGATACTTTGGAAGTTTAATTTGCTCCATTTTTGGATCTTTCCCCCATTTTCCTCTCCTAAATATAACTTGTGTGCTCTTGGGAAGGGTTGCAAATAAAGTGAGCATTCCAGTAAAAATGAAGGTCCACTTAAAGCAGAACGTCACTTAAAAGTGAAAAACTCCACCCCTTCCCCCATGTTTGGAATTTTTTTTTTTTTCTAGGAGCTGGTACCTTTTTCTGAAAGGCACCAGCTCCTATCTCCAAGTCTTGCCTAGGTGAATTCAAAAAAGGTAGTCAACATTTTTTGGGAGTCCAAAAGGGCTAGAAATAACATAAGATCATGGAGATATTCCTATGTTCTTTCTACTCCAGATGAAGTGGGTGCTCTTGGACCCCTAAAACAGGTTGTACCCCTGACATATCAGAATAAAGTTGTATCCGGACCTCTTAGCAGTGGTGTGGCACTTCAATTTAAATTTTTAGATGCAAATCCTATGCATTCACAGCAAAATGGTGGGGCTGCCTTCCAAGACGTGTTCTCCCCAGTAGCCCATGACACTCCACCAGTGTGAGTTTCATATTTTGGCAACCCTACTCTGCCAGAGGTGCTCATCTGGCTGCATGTATGCAGCTCCATCTGTTGCTGCTGAAACTTGCTGATTGTCAGTTGAGGAAGATGTTGCAAAAATATTGAACTGACTAATCAACTAAATGAGGTTCGCTTTCATATAGAGGACATTTTTAGAAGGCTACAGTTCCACTTAAATGTTGTGCCTATGTTTGAATGTATGATTCCAAAATAATTCAAATGGCTAATTTTAGAAATCTACTTTATTTACTCATATCATACTTGACATATTACACTTTCCAATATTTACTGGCCATTTAATTGTTTTGTGCTAGCACAGGATGGTGGCAGTCAGTACTGTGAAGAAAGAGGATGGGAAAGTCTCCTTTGAGACCTCTGAGGGAACAGTCATAAATGTCAACATTAACCAGCGGTCCTGCATGGACAGCCTGCTGGATGCCATCAAGAATATCAGAATGGTAAAGAAAGATGGACAATACAACCAGCCAGCCAGAGAGTCTGCATCCGGAGTACATCTAGGAGTTGGGGTAAGAATACTTAATTGGGACTTTATTACTGTATTTTATTTTCTGTTTTCATATGGTAAATTGTAATATTAATAAAAAGCACAATTAATAAGGAACCTAACCTGGTCTAAAATGTTTCCCAGGTAACAGAGGCATTGAAGAGCAAGGCTCTAGTGGGAGCAATCCTCAAACTGATCTTTGTCACACTATTGAATCCTAACCCCAGACTGTACATGGACTTCTACCCAAATCAAATTTTAGGTCAAACCTCTTCCTTACATTGAAAAAAACTGTGTTAGAAGATTAGCACTCCCCACTGTGCCTGTGAGCTGCAGTGTCCAGGTCAGTGGGAACCATTGGTTTGCATTCCTAGACTATTGACATGGCGCCGGGCATGCGCCGACTGTCCATCTTGGGACACAAGGCTGCCAATCCAGTGCATGTGGACAGCTGAGCTGTGACACTGTGCCAATGTGACCCCCCCCCCTCCCTTGCATGTTACTTTGCTGGCATGGCCAGATGGATGCACCATGCATGTGCGGGCACTGTCTCAGATTCAGCCCCTTTCACAACTGGACACTAGGCCTCAGGCCTCCAGATGGTGTAACACTAGGAGGCCACTTCTTCCCTCTAGACCCCAGAACCATTAGATAGCACTATGGGGACAGGGACCAGGGGGTCAAAACTTCCAGATGCTTGTTAAAGACAGATTTCTTTCCTTCCAGAAACTCATTTCTGTGACCACAAAAAACTGACTCTGGCTCTGAATTAGAATCTGGTTTTTCACCCTTTCCTTCAGGTGCTCCTTTTTCAGGTACCTTTTTCCAAGAAGGAATTTGACTGCCTGTTTCACTGTATTTGAACAACTGGACATAAGTAAGGATTTACTGTGGGACAACCATAAACAAACAATCTAGGTCCCCATCTCTACAGGTGCCTTCTGAGGTTCACCTCCCACCTTTTTTCAAGCTAACTACTGGAACCCTTGGGGCCCGAGGTGACAGGATTGGGGTTTTGGAAAGTGCCCCAACCAGCGAAATTCTTTCTGATGCATCTTCATACTACAGAGAATCAGAGTACAAGGAGTGGGTGCATCCAGACAAGGCGTTTGTGCAGCAGTAACCAAATGACCGCTTTTGGGCAAACGTGGTTGGTCCCAGCTGTGGATCCTGCAGTCTCTTATCTCAATAGTACTCTTACAGTGCAGGTGTGTGATGTACTGGTGTTTAGGGACCCTGCAGGCAGGGTCCACTTTCTGACTGGTGTATGTATGTGTCACACACACACAGCTCAGCTTAAATGTACACACCAACAGATTTGTCAGATAACCTTTTACATTTCCTTTCAGAATCGACATTTTCTATGGGACACTATGCTAAATCAATACTCCCTCATTTGTGGGAGCCATTTTTTGCAAACAAGATTTGTTAATTTGAACACAGTATTTTTCCTAACAAATTTAATTCAAGACCATGTTGCAAAAATGAATACACCCCAATTAAAGTCTTAGGCGCAAAGCTAAATATTAAACAAAATCCTAATTAATAAGAATTAAACTATAGGTGAGTCGAATTATTCATTAAACAGGTGTCCAGCAGACAGTTGATTATAATGGGGCATTACTTAAAGAAAACCCCTCCTATTTCATGCTGTCAGCAATGGCACCACATGGCTACAAGAAGATCACAAAGCTTTACTTATCAGTCAGAACACTGTAGTGATACAAAAATTTAAGTTGGAACTGCAACCATCTCACAGCGATGTCTAAGCCATCCATGGAAGTTAACATCTCTACAGGAGCGTTTCATGGTGAGTAGGGTTGAAGAAAATTGCCATGCAAGTTCACTGGAAGAGGCTTGACCTAAAATTTGATTTGGGTAGAAGTAAAGCCAAACTGGGATAACGTTTTCCCGTGACACAGTACGGCGTATATTGCTGAGGAATGGCATGCATAAGTGCCAAGCCTTTCCTAAAGCCCATGCACAGAAAACCCGCCTAGAATTTTGCTGGGGCCCATCCTGAAAGACTACTGGGACTCTAGTAGCATGAGGCCAAGAAACTCTGAGTGATGAGACCAAGTTAGATGGAACTGATGGCTTCAAAACTGTATGGTGTCACAAAGGTGGGGAGTACAAAGAAAAATGCATGGTGCCTACTGTGAAACATGGTGGTGGCAGTGTCCTTCTGTGGGGCTGCATGAGTGCTGCTGGTGTTGGGGAGCTGCATTTCATTGACAGAATCATGGATTCACAGATGTACTGCTCTATATTGAAAGAGAAGATGCTACCATCACTCTGTGCCCTTGGTCGTCGTGCACTTTTCCAACATGACAATGATCAAAACACACATGTAAGGCTGCTGTTGCATTTCTGAAGAACAAGGTGGAAGTGATTTAGTGACCAAGTATGTCTCCTGCTCTGAACCCAGTCTAACACCTATGGGAAATTCTAAAGAGACAAGTTGAGCATCACTCTCCATCCAGCATCCAGGGTCTAAAAGAGGTCGTTCTTGAAGAATGGAAAAAGAAGTTTCAATATGTCACCAACTTGTTCATTGCATGCCTAGAAGTCTTGGTGCTGTCCCTACAAATCATCGAGGTCATACAAAATACTAGGTGGAGTAGTTTTTGTTGTGGGTGTATTCATTTTTGCTTCAACTAATTTGAGTCAAACTGAAGATTTTGTAATCTACGTTATATATTATTTATGAGCTAAACAAATGTTCTATAAAACTCAGTTTTGTCAAAATTTTGGAAATTGTTCTTGTGTTCATTGAGATATTGATTCAAATCTTGTTTCAAAAGGGGTGTACTCATTTATGCTGAGCATTGTATATATACATACACACTATATTGCCAAAAATATTGGGACACCTGCCTTTCACATGCAGATGCAATCCCAATCTAAGTCTGTAGGGTTCAATATTGAGTTGGCCCACCCTTTACAGGTGCTGCTACTGTAGCACAGCTTCAACTCTTCTGGGAAGGCTGTCCACAAGGATTAGTAGTGTCTATGGGGATGTTTGACCATTCTTCCAGAAGCACATTTGTGAGGTTAGGCACAGATATCGGACAAAAAGGCCTGATCGATCTCTCGCTCTTTCTTTCGTCTTGGTATGCTGACGCCTTAAGCCCAAACCCTTAAAAAACCCCCACACCATAATCCCCCCTCCCACAAACTTTAAATTTGGCACAATATAGTCAGGCAAGTACCGCTTTCCTAGCAACCCCCAGAGACCACCATCGGCTTTGCCAGACAGAAGCGTGCTTCGTCACTTCAAAGAACACATCTCCATTGCTCTAGAGTCAAGTGTGTGCTTTACACCACTGCATCCAATGCTTTGCATAGCACTTGGTGGTGTAAAGCTCAGATGCAGCTGCTCGCCCATGGAAACCCATTCCGTGAAGCTAATCTGAAGGCCACATGAAATTTGGAGGTCTTTAGCTTTTGACTCTGCAGATAGTTGCAGCTGAGCTGCTCTTGTTCCCAGTTGCTTCCAGTTTGTTATAATACAACTAACCGTTGACCGCGTAATATTGAGTAGCAAGGAAATTTCCCAGATGGATTTATTGCACAGGTGGCAACCTATCACGGTACCACACTTGAATTCACTGAGCCCCTGAGAGTGACACATTCTTTCACAAATGTTTGTGGAGGTGATTGGAACACCTGAATCCAATGATTTGGAGAGGCGTCCCAATACTTTTGGAAATATAGTGTATGTATATTGGTTATACCGGGCTCATGACTCAAGATTGGGGCAACGGTACTGAGAAGGGATGGCCCTCCTGTTCCTCCAAGGCAAACAACCAGGAAAGCATTACACATAGATGCAGAAAACATCCATTCCCCAATCTCCTCCATGACTATTAGAGCCAGAGGTGATGATGATTTCATTATCGGTCACCGATCAAAAAAAAGAATTAATAAAATAAAAATTAAAGCACACCCATCCCCATGCATACGCACAAATGCAATGTTTAGTAAACAGCGATTGCACCACATGAGGTGATCTAAGCTGGATGTAAGCTTTCTTTCAAAAGAAAAGCTAGGATCACAAGCCTGCCAAGGCGGGCAACAAACCCTCTTCCCGGTGAAGGGACACCCCCATCTGTGCAGGGGGGGGAGGGACATCTAGCGGCCTTTACAGCCACATAAACTCAAGGTATTTCTGATGTGTGGTTTGAAAACACTGTCCAGGGCCTACACGCTGGAATTTTGCCCCCCCACCACGACTCATGCTGTCGAACGTGTGTTGCACCCGACACAAAGAGCATTGTTTTCCATGTTGTACTCGCTATGAGTACAATGGGTCATTGCCTTTGATCTAGAACCAGAAACGTTTCATGGTTCCTTTACAAACCCATTTTAAGGTGCCCAAGCCCATTCTGGACCTAAAGCACTTTGAGCTTTTGCATTTTAAAAAAATCAGGGACATTTCCTGTTCTCTGTAAATATCAAAGATGCCTACCTCCAACATCCCTGTGTTTTTTTTTTTTTTTTTTTTTTTTTTTTTTTCCACCTCATCAGCACTGGTGGTGGGGGAATAAAACACTTTCAACTTGTGGCTCTGACCTTTTGGCTGGGCCACAGCACCATGAGTATTTACAAAGGTGCTGGTCCCAGCTTTGGCTCTTCTGCAGACCCTTGGGATCACCATTATGGGGTATCTGGACAATTTAGTTCTGAGAGAGCAATTGGTGATCTCATGACAAATGTGCAAGTTCTGCAGGACTTCAATATCCAACAATCAACCCTGGAGCCATTGCGTTGCCTGAGGTATGTGGTCCTTATTCTGGATTAGGCCCTGGCACACATTTTCCTTTTCCAGAAAGAGCTTCAGGCTGTTCCAGGCCAAAGTATGGGATTTGCATCCACTGAAGCACCCCTCTATTCGCTTTTGCATAATGATGCTAGGCTTACTAGTAGCCTCCTTCAAGGCTGCCCATACACTTAGTTTCATTCAAGACTGTTGCAACTCAGCATCATGACAGCATTGGTCAAAACAGACCCTGTCCTTGGATCACCCTATATGTCTCAGCACCAAAATCAAGTTTGCCTTGGATTGGGGGCTAAATCAAAAAATTCTTTCTCCTTTATGGGGGTGGAAGGTACTGATATGGTCCCAGCCACTTGGACTGGGAAGAAATTCTGTATTCCCAGTCAGTTCAGGAAATATGGTGGTAGAGGAAGCCCAGATTATGATTAATGTCCTGGAGCTTAGGGCAATTTGGCTTTCCTTTCAGCTCTAGAACACCTTACTCCACAGTCTTTCAGTCTGGGTCCAGTCAGATAACACCACAGCAGGGTAATACTTAAATCAACAAGGCAGCAACAGGAGTCAGGCTGCTTTCCAAGAAGCAAATCTTGATTTTTGGCAGAACTGCATTTTTTAGCCTTGTTTGCTGTACACATTCCCAGCATGGAAAATTGGAAAGCAGACTTAAGCCACCAACGGCTGAATCCTGGAGAGAGGTCTCCAGGTCTTAAGGTGTTTTAGCACTTTGCCTTCAGTGGGGAAGCCAGAAATAGACATGCTGGTGTCCAGACTCCGCAACAGACTGGAAAGGTTTGTTTCCAGGGCCACAGACTATCTGGCCTTTTGGGTAAATGCTCCAGTTACTCTATAAAAATTGGCTCATACAAATGTATGCATCAAATTCGCCCCACCCTCCTCTGAAACTCCTGCCTTGTCTACTTTAAAAGAGAAAGTAAGAAAGCATTTCGATGGCTTTCATTGCATCTAATTGGCCCAGGAGGACGTGATACTTGGACAGGCATAGTCAGACTCCTAGCAGTCTGTGTGCCCTGCCACAAATAATCTAGACCTTTCGTTCTAAGATCCTGTGTTCCATCATGCTTCATAGTCGCTGGTTTTGATGGCTTGGCTGTTGACTCCCAAGTCCTGAGAAATGGGTCTTTTCACATTTTGGTGATTCACACCTTGCTGTAGGCAGGAAAACCTTCCTCCTTTTATAAGACTTGCCATTGCCCCTATAGAAGTCATTGTTTAAGATTTTTTTGCTCTTCCTCTTTTACACAAGGTTCCTTTTTTGTCTGGCTCCAAAACATCATGTTAAGGCTAGTGCTCTCCACTCTTTTGGATGCAGCTGGTGCTTTACAGTGTTTGGGCGTGACCATGGCTGTGTGAGTCTCTCACAGCCACCATCTCAATCTATTTTATTATGCTCTGTACAGCCTGAAGACTCCTGGAAGAGAGACTGCCTCTTGATCCACAGCTGTTAACTCGATTCAGCAAGTTGCCGCTCCTGTGAGGGCCTATTCCACCAAAATTGTTGGAGCTTCATGGTCTTTTCAGCATCAGGCCTCAATTTCCCAGGTCTAATGCTGGCATCTGGTCTGTTTGACAAGCTTTACCAAGTAGTTGTTGGAGCCTTGGTGGATGGTAACCTCTGTTGAAAGTCCTAGTGGCCCTGTGAATGCCATCCCTGTTTACTTCTTTTTGGTGCAAGAATTGGCTTTCCTGTGATGTAAAATTAAGAAAACATGATTTTTCACTTGCCTGTAAAATCCCTTTCATGGAGTATATCACAGGACACGGGTCCCCCTCTGCTTGTTTCACTCCAATATTGCTTGCCGTCAAACCTGAAGACAAGCTGGGAGTTTGCGGGGCTGCAAGCATTGCCATTTACCAATGTCCAATCTCTTGGAAGTTAAGCATAATTCAGTGATCTCAGAAGTAACTCTCCTGTGATGTATTCCAAGAAGGGGATTTTACAGGTAAGTAAAAAAAATCCCATTATTCCACCCTCATATGTTTAAGCCTCCACTATTGAAAAATTCTAAAACATCTTTCATTAAAAGATACATTTATGAAAAGGAGTGATTATATGAAGTAATCTAATGCCTAATAATATTTATATAATTAATTTTCATTTGTCACTTGTTGCAGGTCTCTTTTATGAGCTTGGGTTTCATCAGTGTCATGCTGGCTATCATTATTGCTGTGATTCATCCAAGCCTTGCTATCAGCTATGTTGGGACACACTTCTGGGTAGGATTTCCGGTAAGTAAAATATGCTAAATAAAGAGAACAAGAAACCAGTACTGGGCAGAAAAATGCATGTATCAGTAACCTAAAGGATGAATGCATTTAACGGAAATGGATAAAGAGCTGTTGCAGACAACATGTGAACCCAGTCAGTAAACCCCTAATTTTCTACCTGTGGCCCTTTTTTGGTACTTACTGTGCAGCCCCAGTAATAAGAGTAGAATCATTTGTAAAGAGGCTGTATAAATGATCTGTTTTCGTTTAACACAACACATCCCCTTCTGACTATCTTCTGCATCAAGTGTGAAGTCTCCAACAACATATGTAGCATGTCTGCATGCTCTGTCTACATAAACTAAGAAAAAAATGTGTGGTGTACCTGGTGGAAGTGAAAGCTGAGACGGGTTAGGGGAGTAGTATGAGGGACAAAGTTGCAGGCAGTGTCAGATGGGTAGGTCACATGACTATAATCCACTGTCACATGCACAACATATCCATAATCCACTGTGCAAGAACCAGATATGGAAGCACAACATCATCCAAGCGGAAGAGAGGAACATAGCTAGGAGATGAGCCAAGGACTTGTGACAACCAGGTAGCAAAGTATCTAGGCAAGGGCAGTGGTTGATTTTGGTTTTGTGCTGCCCTAGGCAAGACTAAAATTGGGTGCCCCTTCATGTTGAAGATCCACCCCTTCATCTATAAACCCTGCACCTTCCTCTTTAGGCTCCACCTCTTCATATTAGAGCTCCATCTCAGGAGTTGGTCAGGGACTGTGGACAGGAGACCGTCAGGGACTGCGGAAATAATGAAGGAGCTAAAAAATAGCTCCGTGAGCACCCATCAGATGCCAGGCTTGTGAAATATATAGAAAATGTCTGTTTTTTCACTTCAGGCCTGCCAGATAGAGGAGATGATGATAGAAATAGAGATGATAGTGATAGAGATAAGGATGGAGATGATAGAGATAAAGAGATGATGATAGAGATGATGGAGACGGAGATGATGGAGTCAGGAATAGATGATGGAGAAAGATGATAGAGATAGGGATGGAGAAAGATGATAGAGATAGGGAGATTATGGAGACAGGGATGATGGAAGACAGATGATAGAGATAGGGACGGAGATGATGGGGACGGAGATGATGGAGACGGAGATAGGGACAGATGATGGAGAAGATGATGAGATGATGGAGCCAGAGATAGGGATGGCGATGATGGAGACAGAGAGGAGCCGGGCGATGATGGAGATAGGGATGGAGATGATGGAGACAGGGATGATGGGGACAGAGATGATAGAGATAGGAACGGAAATGATGGAGACAGATGATAGAGATAGGGACGGAGATGATGGAGACGGAGATGATGGAGACGGAGATGATGGAGACGGAGAGAGATATATGGAGACAGAGATAGGGATGGAGATGATGGAGACAGGGATGATGGAGACGGATGATGAGACAGATAGGGACGGAGATGACGGGGACGGAGACATGACGGGGACGGAGACATGACGGGGACGGAGACATGACGGGGACGGAGATGATTGAGACGAGACAGAGACATGACGGAGACATGACGGAGATGATTGAGACGAGACGGAGACATGACGGAGACATGACGGAGATGATTGAGACGAGACTGAGACATGACGGAGACATGACGGAGATGATGGAGACGAGACGGAGACATGACGGAGACAGAGATGATGGAGACGAGACGGAGACATGACGGAGACAGAGATGAGATATGGAGACGAGACGGAGACATGACGGAGACAGAGATGATGGAGAGACGAGACGGAGACATGACGGAGACAGAGAGATGATGGAGACGGAGACGGAGACATGACGGAGACAGAGATGATGAGAGAGATGACGGAGACATGACGGAGACAGACGGAGATGATGGAGAGAGACGGAGACATGACGGAGATGGATGATGGAGACGAGACGGAGACATGACGGAGACAGAGATGATGGAGACGAGACGGAGACATGACGGAGACAGAGATGATGACGGAGAGATGATGGAGATGATGGATGACGAGACGGAGACATGACGGAGACAGAGATGATGATGGAGACATGACGGAGATGATGGAGACGAGACGGAGAGATGACGGAGACAGAGATGATGGAGACATGACGGAGACATGACGGAGACAGAGATGATGGAGACATGACGGAGGTGATGGAGACAGATGATAGAGATAGGGACGGAGGTGATGGAGCCAGAGATGACGGAGCCAGAGATGCAAATGCCGGAGACAGGGATGATGGAGACAGATGATAGAGAGAGGGATGGAGGTGATGGAGCCAGAGATGATGGAGACAGGGATGATGGAGACAGAGATAGGGACGGAGATGATGGAGACGGATGATAGAGATAGGGACGGAGATGATGGAGACGGATGATAGAGATAGGGACGGAGATGATGGAGACGGATGATAGAGATAGGGACGGAGATGATGGAGAGGATGATAAAGGGAGCCGGAGATGATGGAGCCGGAGCCGTGGATGATGGAGATAGGGTCGTGGATGATGGAGACAGATGAAGGAGATGATGGAGACAGGAACAGGGATGACGGAGCCAGATGATGGAGATAGGGACGGAGATAATAGAGACAGGGATGATGAGACAGGGATTAATGGAGATGATGGAGACAGATGATGGAGATGATGGAGATGGGGATGAAGGTGATGGAGCCAGAGATAGGGATGATGGAGACAGATGATGGATAGAGAGAGCCAGAGATGATGGAGACAGATGATGGATAGAGATAGGGACGGAGATGATGGAGACAAATGATAGGGATAGGGACGGAGATGATGGAGACAGATGATAGAGATAGGGACGGAGATGGGGACGGAGATGATGGGGATGGAGACGGAGATAGGGTGGAGATGATGAAGCCGGGATGATGGAGACAGGGATGATGGAGACCGAGATGGGGACGGAGATGATGGAGACAGATGATAGAGATAGGGACGGAGATGATGGAGATGGATGATAAAGGGAGCCGGAGATGATGGAGATGATGATGGATAGGGTTGTGGATGATGGAGACAGATGAAGGAGATAGGAATGGAGATGATGGAGACAGGACAGGGATGACTGAGCCAGATGATAGAGATAGGGACGGAGATAATGGAGGGAAACAGGATTATGGAGACAGATGATGGAGATGATGGAGACAGATGATGGAGATGAAGGATGAGGGACGGAGCCAGAGTCGGGGATGATGGAGACAGATGATGGATAGAGGGTCAGAGATGATGGAGACAGATGATGGAGATAGGGATGGAGATGAGGATGGAGATGATGGATGACAGATGATGGGGACGGAGATGATGAGACAGGGATGATGGAGATAGATTATAGATGATGGAGACAGATGATAGAGATAGGGATGAAGATGACGGAGACAGGGATGATGGAGACAGATGATAGAGATAGGGATACAGATGATAGAGACAGATAGCGATAGGGATGGAGGTGATGGAGCCAGAGACAGGAATGATGGAGACAGGGAATGATGGAGACAGGGAATGATGGAGACAGATGATGGAGATGATGGTGACAGATGATGGTGACAGATGATGGGGATGAAGGTGATGGAGCCAGAGTCGGGGATGATGGAGACAGATGATGATAGAGGGCCAGAGATGAAGAGACAGATGATGGCTAGAGATAGGGACGGAGATGATGGAGACAGATGATAGGGACGGAGATGATGGAGACAGATGATAGGGACGGAGATGATGGAGACAGGGATGATGGAGACAGGGATGATGGAGACAGATGATAGAGATAGGGATACAGATGATGGAGACAGATGATAGCGATAGGGATGGAGGTGATGGAGCCAGAGACAGGGATGATGGAGACAGAGATAGGACCAAAGATGATGATGGGACATGATAGAAATGGAGCCGGGGATGAAAGGAGACAGATGGTAGAGACGGAGATGACGGAGAGAGGAGATGACGGAGACGACGGAGACGGAGACGAGAGACGGAGACGGAGACGACGGAGACGGATGATAGAGATGGAGATAGGGTGGAGATGATGGAGCCGGGAATGGAGATGATGCGGACAGGGATGATGGGACAGAGAGAGGAGATAGAGATGGAGCCGGAGATAGAGATAGGAATGGAGAGGATGGAGACAGGGATGATGAGACAGGAGATGATAGAGACAGGGGCAGAGATGATGGAGACAGAGATGGAGATAGGGATAGAGATGATGGAGGCATATGATGGGGACAGATGATAGAGATAGGGATGGAGATGATGGAGACAGATGATAGAGATAGGGATGGAGGTGATGGAGACAGGAGATGATGGAGACGGGGATGATGGAGACAGATATATAGGGACATGGATGATGGAGACAGATGATAAGGGATATGGGGACAGGGATGATGGAGATAGGGATAGAGATGATAGAGGCAGAGATGATAGACAGAGGATAGATAGGGAGAGATGGTGTAGGTAGATGATGGAGACAGATGATAGGGATGGAGGTGATGGAGCCAGAGCAGGGATGATGGAGACAGATAAAGATAGGGCCAGAGATGATGGAGACATGATAGAGATAGGGGTGGAGATAATGGCGACAGGGATGATGGAGACAGGGACGAAGATGATGGAGATAGATGATTGAGGTGATGGAGCCAGAGACGGATGGAGACAGAGATAGATATAGGGCCATAGATGATGGAGACAGATGATAGAGATAGGGCCGGAGATGGTGGAGACAGATGGATGATGGATGGCAGATACGATGGAGCCGGAGCCGTGGATGATGGAGATAGGGTCGTAGATGATGGAGACAGGTGTGAGAGATGGATGATGATGGAGACAGATGATGGAAACAGATGGAGATAGGGACGGAGATTATGGAGGAGACAGATGATAGAGATAGGATCTGAGATGATGGAGCCGGAGATAGGGATGGAGATGATGGGAGACAGATGGTAGAGATAGGGACGATGGATTATGGAGACAGAGATGATGGAGACAAATCAGAGAGATGGACAGAGATGATGGAGACATGATAGAGACGGAGATGATGGAGACAGATGATGGAGAGATGGAGATATGATGGAGCCAGAGATAGAGATGGGGATGGAGATGATGGGGACAGGGATGATGGGACAGATGATAGAGGTGAAGCCGGAGATGATGGAGCCAAGATAGAGATAGATGGAGATGGAGATGATGGAGACAAGGATGATAGAGAAGGAATGATAGAGACAAGGACAGAGATGATGGAGATAGGGATAGAGATGATGGAGGCATATGATAGAGATAGGGACAGAGATGATGGAGACAGATGATAGAGATAGGGATGGAGATAATGGAGACAGATGATAGGGACGGAGGTGATGGAGACAGAGATGATAGAGACAGGAATGATAGAGACAGGGAGAGATGATGAGATAGGGATAGAGATGATGGATAGGAATGATGGAGACAGATGATAGAGATGGGGACGGAGATGATGGAGACAGATGATAGAGATAGGGACGGAGATGATGGAGACAGATGATAGGAGGGACAGAGATGATGGAGATAGGATGATAGAGATAGGGACGGAGATGATGGAGACAGATGATAGAGATAGGGACGGAGATGATGGAGACAGATGATAGAGATAGGGACGGAGATGATGGAGACAGATGATAGAGATAGGGACGGAGATTATGGGGACGGAGATTATGGGGACAGAGATTATGGGGACGGAGATTATGGGGACAGAGATTATGGGGACAGAGATTATGGGGACAGAGATTATGGGGACAGAGATTATGGGGACAGAGATTATGGGGACAGAGATTATGGGGACAGAGATTATGGGGACAGAGATTATGGGGACAGAGATTATGGGGACAGAGGATTATGGGGACAGAGATTATGGGGACAGAGATTATGGGGACAGAGATTATGGGGACAGGAGATGATGGGGACAGAGATTATGGGGACAGAGATTATGGGGACAGAGATTATGGGGACAGAGATTATGGGGACAGAGATTATGGGGACAGAGATTATGGGGACAGAGATGATGGGACAGAGATTATGGGGACAGAGATTATGGGGACAGAGATTATGGGGACAGAGATTATGGAGACAGGATGATGGAGACAGAGATGATGGAGATGGGGATGGGAATGATGGAGACAGGGATGATGGAGACGGAGATAGAGAGATGATGGGAGTGATGGAGACAGGGATGATGGAGACAGGGATGATGGAGGCAGATATAGGGACAGAGATGATGGAGACGGAGATAGAGATAGGGATGAAGATGATGAGGCAGAGATGATAGAGACAGGGGATAGATGGAGAGAGATGGTGTAGGTAGATGATGGAGACAGATGATGGAGATAGGATAGAGATGATGGAGGCAAATGATGGAGACGGAGATGATGGAGATAGAGATGGAGATGATAGGGATGATGATGATGATGGAGACAGGGATAGAGATGATGGAGACAGATGGATGATGGATATGGAGATGATGGAGATAGGGATAGAGATGATGGAGACAGGGATGATGGAGAAGATGATAGAGATAGGGATATAGATGATGGAGATGATGATAGAGATAGAAGGATGATGATAGAGACGATGATAGAGATGATTATAGGATAGAGATGATGATAGACATAGAGATGATAGAGATGGAGATGATGATAGAGATGGATAGAGATGATGGAGATGATAGAGATGATGGAGCTAGAGATGGATATAGAGATGATGGAGATAGAGATGTTTTTTTGTGTTTTTTTTTTTTTTTTTTTTTTTTTTTTAAATAATAACCCTGCTTTAAACTTTTACACAGATTATCCCTGAAATGTCTGGGTGACTTGGCCTTCATGATGTTTGTTCACTAATGTTCTTGATGGAGACTGAGGGCTTCACAGAACTGTATTTATATGGAGAAATTACTAATTGGGTGACTTCTGAAGGAAACTGGTTCCACAAGATTTTAGTTAGCGGTGTCAAAGTAAAGGGGGCTAAATACAAATGCACACCACACGTTTCAGATATTTGTAAAGAATTTTGAAAACCATTTATCATTTTCCTTCCACTTCACAATTATGTGCCACTTTGTGTTGATCTATCACATAAAATCCCAATGAAATTTACTTTTTGGTTGTAACATGACAAAATGTTGAAAATTTCAAGGGGTATGAATACTTTTTCAAGTGTGTGTGTATATTTTTATTTATTTATAGATCGCACACAAACTGTATTACACTTGTAAAATGCCATAATATTTAATTGGTGTTTTGTCTCCTAATAGTTTCTTGTTGCTGGAGCACTGAACGTTCTGGTTTACAAATATCCCAATGCATTATGGGTAAGTGCAGTCATTTGATTTTCACGGCTTACCATGATGATCAGTGATGAAAAAATGACTATAATGTACACAGCATATCAGTTGTTCATTTAAGTTCATGCTCCAAAATTTAAACAATATCCAGACACAGAGGTCTGTGCAATTTTAAAGTCGAACCGTAACCTACCGCGCTCCTAATACAGTCTCCATGTCTGGCCTTCTGTTATCACAATGCCTGTCCAAAAATCACACTCTGAACACTCAGAAGATAAGTGCAGGGTGCCAGTATTGAAACTATCTATATATCAGATAGGCAGGCAAAGATGGCAGTAATGTTAATGGTGGGGTGCATGCACAGAATTTCTTCAGACTGTCACCTTGGCCATTCAGAGCTAAGTTGGTCCACTCTCAGAAGACAATTGTACATGCCTTTGCAGCACTCCGTCCTTTTAGATACTCTGTCAAAGTTATTTATTTTATTTATTACAGGTGCTTGTATAGTGCCATCAATTTATGCAGCACCTTACATAAATATTGTACATTCACATCACCCTAACCCTCAAGGGGTGTACAATCTAAGGTCCCTAACTTGCATTCATAAATACACATACTAGGGCCTCATTAGACAGGAGCAAGTTAACCTACCAGCATGTCTTTGGCGTATGGGAGGAAACCGGAGTGCCTAGAGGAAACCCACGCAGACACAGGGGGAACATGCAACTCCAGGCAGGTGGTGCCGTGGTTGGGATTCCAACTGACAACCCTAGTACTGCCATATGGAAGTGCTAACAATTTAGCCACTGTGCTGACCAAGTTATTGCAAATACCTGATAGTTCCAGGTATAAGAACATTTAACTTCACATAATGTAATGCTCAGTCACAAGGTCTAGACACTCATTTTGAGGAGAACATTGTGGACTCTATGTAACCTTTGATACCCAGCTACGAAGCAGTCGGGAAAAGAGAAGCATTTTAGGGGGTTGGGATAACCAGCAATTTGTTCATTTTTCCTATATCTTAAAGAAAATATAAATGCCAATATGATCAAATAACAAGTACCTAATTAAAATTAACATGTATTGGAATCATGGGGGGTGGGGTTTAGTTTCTGCCTTTTTTAAATTAGAATATTCAAGATTTTTTTCTTTTTGATCTCTTGCAGCCAGTTTGAAAGCTTAGTACACACTTTGAGAAAATTGAACAGTTGTCTAATTTTCCACAAAGGTGCATATTATGATGTAACTGAGAATGGTATTAACTTACAAAACTTCTCGACTGACAAAGGCAAACATAACTACATACTAGTGTAGTAGGGATGGAAGAGATGTAGTGTAGGGTAGTTTTTTTGCTTTTTTGATCATGCTAGTTTTTTCTATTCGATTATTTCCATACGATTACTGAATAAAAATCGGACATTGTGTTGTACTGTACTAATGAACAGATAATGGATTGATGGTTCCACATACATTTTTTTTATTGTGTGTATCGGCCTTCAGAATGCCTGAAGGTAGAGCAGAGGCCTCTTGCATTCATTCCATACAGGAAAGCATTTGCTGAGAGCTACACTATGTGTAAGCATCTTGAATACTACAATAGGAGGACCACTTGTTTTTTAAAGTGATTCAAAAGGATTTTTTTTTTTTTTTTTAAATAGCAAGCATATCATACTTACCCATACTATGTGTGCAGTCCATGCACGGATTAAATTTATGTGCACCATTCTCTACATATATTGCCATGATTAATTGGAGGGTGCTTTAATGTACAGGAGTCTTCTGTCCCCCCCAAGTCACACTTATTTGTTTTGTTTACATCAGGGCAGCTCTTGGTCAAGCCTAAATCATGTGAAAGCACTTGGCAGGGTGTGTATTTCTGGTGAGGTCTGGTTATTTGTGCAAGTATTTTCAGACAATCTAACAGTACATTGGGGATGGTAGGGCAGTTAAATATGTTACTTTCTCTAGCATAGGTAATCTACAGTTTCACATTTAGGAATGTTTTAAAGCTGTCCTCCTGATAAAGTACAAACCATTTTCTAGACCTCAAACATGGATTTTGTTGTGGTGTGTTTTTTTTTTTTTTTTTTTATTTTTTTTATTGGCCTACCTAGGTCCAAGCTGCCTTTCTACCACATGATGCCCAGTCCAACCCCTGGCACTTGGTGCAAAGGAGACTCTGCAACGCTCCAAAAAACATATGGACTGCTATAAGGCTGCTATAGAATCTTTAGAGTCCTAAAAAAGCTCCTTGGACAGCTTGACTCTCTATAGGCAGAGCTTAAAGGATAAGTCCACTTTTTTAATAAAAAATAATAAATCCACATTTTATTGCAGGTAAAAAAACACAAATGTGCATTTTTTTTTTTTTTTTTTTTTTTTCAGGAAAAGCATTTTTACCAGCGATCAGCAGATCGCTGGTGCCATGCTGGTCTCCAGCAGTCAGTATATCTCTGTACTCATACATTTCGTAAAAGCAAGCAGATCCTTACTGACGGAAAGACTCAATGAACTACCACGGCGCTCCACAGTGCCATGGTAGTTATTTGAGGTCTACAAGCCAACAACCGCAAAGTCTGTGGGAGCTGGTAGTGTTCTCTTTCACAGTACACTGTAAATGAAATTATTTTAAAGATCCCTCGCTAGCTGTTACAACTGTGATCAAGGGGGGCTGGTCCGTTCATAATGTTTCATGTTACACCCTGAATATGGGTGTAACATGTTCTGAAAGGTGAATTTGTCCTTTTTACCTAGTATGTAGATATATATTTATTATGTCTTCTTTTTTTTTTTTTTTTTTTTGTCTCACTTAGATGGTAATTTCCTTCATTTCTCTGTTGGGCTGCTTGGCAGTGTCTATCGCTGGTACAGTCTTTGTTTCAAGTGACATTGACAGTTTTTACTGGAGGGTAGACATGGATTCTCTGTGTAATAACCTTCGCCAAAGACCAAACTCTTATTACTATGGAACTACGCCTCCATCCTATTACAGAGACTACAACAATGACTGGGATCTGGAGAGATGCAAGAATGGATTTCGAGAATACCAGGTGTGACCCGTCTTCTGTTTGCACTGTGCATGGGATGAAGGATTTTTAACCTCCCAGTGATTTTCAGAAGTAGTGATGCTTTTGCATCTGGTGGAAATTATTTCTGTTAGAAAAAGTGTATGCCTCTAGTTGGAGCTGAGAGCACAAGGACTTTGTTTTGGGCACCAATTCACAAAAATATTGGGGAACTGGAGAAAGTACGGAGGGGCAACCAAACTGATAAGAGGCATGCAGGAGCTCAGCTATGAGGAAAAATTTGAGGAACTGAATGTATTCTCTCTGGAGAAGAGGAGATTAAGGGGGGATATTATCACCATATATAATAAGGGGGATATGATCACCATGTATAAATACATCAGTGGTTCATATAGTGAACTCGGTGTAGTTATTTACCGTGAGGTCATCACAGAGGGCAAGGGGCACTCTTTACATCTGGAGGAAAATATTTAATCTCCAAATATGAAAAGGTTTCTTCACAGTGAGAGCTGCGAAAATGTGGAACAGACTCCCTCAAGAGCTGGTTCTGGCCAGCTCAGTAGATTGTTTAACAAAAAAAAAAGGCATGGATTCTTTCCTAGAAACACAAAATATAGCTGAATTCTAACATTTATAGGTAACGTTGATCCAAGAAATATCCGATTTGCCTCTTGGGGGATCAGGGGTAAATTAGATCATGCTTTGAGATTTTGTTTGCCTTCCTTTGGATCAACTGTGGGTATAGGATTGTGTATATGGAGGTGTCCTCTGGATCAACTGTGGGTATAGGATTGTGGGCATATGGAGGTTTTTCATTTGCGTGTCTTTTTTTTCTGTTGGTTGAAATGGATGCACTTGTATCTTTTTTGTCAACCAGATTAACTATGTACCTATGACTCTATGCTTCGAGAAATCTTCTGCAAGTACTATTGAGGCAGCTGTAGAAAGGCTCTACCCCATGAGAGAACATGTTTTCCCTATTCTATTTACACTTCAACTTAAAATAGTGCTCAAGCTAAAACGTTGTTAGATTGGGATAAAAATATGGAAGGATATGAGCCTGTTTTAGGTTTTTAAGCTGTCTGTGTCCTAACTGGGGAGATCTCCCCTTTCTTCCTTCTGTGACCTCAGGGCAATGGACAGAAAAAAAAAAAAAACTGACCAAGCCCTTCCCTAATCTATCTCAAATACATTTGAAATCTGGCTTGTGTTTTAAATAGTTTTTTCTCAAGCAATAATACCATTTGGGATACAGTTCCTGTAGTTGTGAATGGCTGAATGTTTTGTGAACAGTTGGTTTGATAACTTTCCTCTCCTTTACACAGCACTTTTTGTTAGGCTTGCTCATTATGTCCTTGCTGATGATGATCTGGGGCATCTGTGTTTCCGCTTTAACTCTGATCTACAGACTGAAGGTGTTTATCAAATCCTGCAAATGTGAGGTAAGTACTACTTCATTACAGCTAGAGGCAAGCAAACAAAATGTCAGCTCCAGATTTGAGGTTGGTTATTTACAGTCTGAAGCAAGTGTAAATGAGCCTTAGAAGTAGTGTCAATTTCAACACAATAAATTGCCTACCTCTTCCACAAGCTTTTTTTGTGTTTTTTGATGCTTTGATGTTTTCTTGAAGCTTTAATGAAGCTTGGCGAATGTCTTGTGTGTGTTCCTTTTCTATTTGTTTTAAAGGAACCCCAGCTCATTAGTACTCCTATTCAGCAGATCCCCAGCTCATTAGTACTTTTCTTCAGCAGATCTCCAGCTCATTGGTACCCTCATTCAGCAGATCCCCAGCTCACTGGTACCCTCATTCAGCAGATCCCCAGCTCAGTAGTACTCCCAGCTCTTCTGATCCCTCATTCAGTAGTAATCGATAGCGCTGCTGATTTGTGGATCCTCTGCTTTGCGGTTCCTCCTCTCTGGTCCCTGCTCACCTCCCACTATATTGCTCCAACTTCTGAAAGCATAACCTGTTATCCTTTGAAAAGGGAGACAGAACAGCATTTTATATAATACTGTATATTAATATTGCATTTATTTCCAATACATTTTCCTCAGTAGTACACATCTTGAAAATAAAAGTCCATCAGCGGCTCTATTGGCTTTAAATCTGGATGGAAAGGTTTGCTTTTTGGTCTCCCAGTACATCCTGGGATATCGCATACCTGCAATACCTCCAAAACAAAGCAAAACTAAAGACTCTGAACAGCTGCAGGTGCTATTAGCGAGCTTTGTCATAGACTTCTATGGAGGCTTTGAAGCACCAAGAAAACTACATGGGGTATAATTTTTGAAGCAAAGCAAAAGCAACGTCTAAAAAGGACTGTAAGCTAAGCTTTTTTTCTTTTTTTTTTTTTTTTTTTTTTTTTTTTTTGTGACAGTAGCTTTGATTGGCATTCAGAGAGCTTTAAAAAAAGTGTCAGAAGAAAGTGTAAACAAGTCACAGCCTCTTCAGGGGCTCATATTGAAATGTAGCTTGTCCTGCCCTTGCATCCTCTTTTCAATCTTGTGCTCACCTGTCCTAGATTCAGTGAAATATCACCAAAGTGGATAAACAGCCACTTATCAAAATATTCTGAGCCAGGCCCACACATGAGCTGTGCACATTACACTCAATTTTATGGAGAGTTTGTATTCCACCGGAAATGGAATGCAAACTTTCCAAAGAACAGAGGAGTGCAACAGTGCACATGTGAGTCCAGCTGTGAAGATTTCACAGGTGGCTTTGCAATCAGGTTGAGAGGGCAGGGCAAGCCACCATGAAACTGCACCAAAAGGTGCAATTACACCTTTTAACCATTACTAATGGCTGCAGTCTAATTTAGCCAATAGGGAAGCTTTACACTATCCTATGGGGTCAGTAACCTAATTACACAATAGGGTCATTAACCATTTGCCCTCCAGAGGATTTACCTTCCTTCCTGACAAGGCCATTTTTTGCATTACAGCGCTGCGTTACTTTATGTGCAGCGTTGCATGACCGTGCAATTGTCACTTAAATTATATTTAAGTCCTACCCCCCCCCCCCCCCACACACACACACACAAATTGCTTTCTGTTGGTGGTATTTGAACACGTGTTCTTTGTTTCTTAATTGCCTTTTTTTTAAAGGCACAAAAAATAATTTAATTTTTTTTACTGGACATGTTTAATAGCAAAAAGTCAAATCAAATTTTGTCATACCTAAGCCAAAATGTATTCTGCTACATATCTGCTAAAAAAGAAAAAAATCCCAATACGTGTAAATGAATTGGCTTACGGGAAAGTTATAGCGTTTACAAATGGTGGTGTAATATAAATATAAAAAAGAAAAGGTGTGGTATGTATGTTTTTAACTAGTAATGGCGGCGATCAGCAACTTATAAACGGACTGCGGCGGGCATTCTGACATCCGCAGTGAAACCAATGCAGCGATCAGTGCTGATAAAAAAAAAAAAGCACTGACACTACTAATGGCACTGGACAGGAAGGGGCTAACTGTGTGCAGGAAGTGTTTTACTATGGGGCGGTGTTTGTGTACAGAACAGTCATCCAAAGCAGTTTGCTTACAGTGAAGCACACAGCCATCCAAAGCAGTGTGCACGAGCTGACAGAGGAGAACTGTTTTTTATTTACAAACCATTTTCCTCCCTGTCACCGGGCGCCATCAAGTAATCGCCGATCAAGACCCAGTGATTGACAGCCGCGAATGGCGCGCGCGCGCGCCCCCCCAACCCAGAGATGCAAAATCATGTATAAGTACATGTGATTTTGTGCACCAGAGCCGCCCTGTAGCAATATTTCTGCTGTAGGGCGGTCGGGAAGCTGTTAAAGCTAAAACTAGGCTACCAATGGGAATGCCTGCAGTAATTTTTTAAAAAATAGGTTTGTGGCAGAGCAGGGATGGCCGATACAAAATATTCCTTAGTTTTACTAAATCTTGGACCCTGCATTCACTATATCTGGTCTCCCCGAACCCTGCATTCACTATATCTGGTCTCCAATAGTACACAGAACATGGAAATGCTATTTATTTTAGTAAATATAAACTGATAAATACCTTTTCTCATCAGCAGTTAGCAGTCTTGTGACTTCTTTCAGTGTCTAGCCAAGCACTGGTTAAAGCTTGTAGGAGGAGTTTACATTCTCCACTGACTATCCTATGAGACTACATAACCCCTGACCCTCTTTCTGGACAGTGCTGATTGGCCCTCTGCTGATCACCTAAACCTGTCCCCAAGAATAAAAAAAAAAACCTCCAGCCATATACACAAAACTGAGCATGTGCACAGCAACTCCTAGCGCTCTGTACTATCAACAGATGGATTGGGGACAATAGAAGGGAGGATCAGAGAAGACAGGATCAAATAGCCTTTTTTTACACAATGCGGAGGATTAACCCCTTAGGTTCTACAGTGAATATAAATGGATGCTTTACTGCAAATAAAGACTGATTTTACTTTTGTGGGTTTAGTAACAATATACAATGAATAAACATAATATGTACATATTTTTTGTCTCACAGAAAGTTGAAGAGAATGATGATCCTCTGCTGTCACCAAACCCCATCCAAGACATTATTATTGCTTAAAGAGGAAGGTGTCATCTATATTTTACACAGGCTTACTTTAGCTTCCTAAAGCCATAACCCACAAAGAAATATTATGAATCCTGTACTAAGAAAAATGGGCACGCTGCCTTTGCTTGCTTTCTTCCAGTAATGCTAGTTGCCTGGCTGTTCTGGCTTTCAGAGCTTTGAATTACTGACCTGGAACAATCAAGTCAGAGTGAAGTTGAAACCCCTAATCTGCATTCTTGTCCCGGGTCTGTCAGAAAACACAGAAGCCATTGGATCAGCATGACAGCCAGTGAACTCAGTATGTTTTCCTTTTTAAAGTGGTCTGAAATAGAACCTGTCATCTTGCCCATTCTGGGTTTTTTTTTTGTGTTTTTTTTTCTAGCCTACCCTTGCACTCCTGAGACTCATTTTGGCACTCCCTTCCTCCATTGGAAATGAGCTTTGCATCTGGGTATGGAGCAACATTTGACCAGTTTCTTTCCTCCTAGGATGCTGACTTTGTGCCTGAGTGGCCAATCAGTGGTCCTGCACACTTCACATAATTGAGGGGAGCTGGTCCTGAATGGGAACTATGACAGATTATCCTTAATACACTGCTGTCTGTCAGTCAATTTAGTAGAAGGGTAATTTCTCCTGTGTGGGTTTTTTTTTTTTTTTCTCATTTGTGGTTTCAGTTTGTACATCAATAGCAGAGACATTAGCTCCATGTCAACTGTGAATGACAGTTTATAATCAGCTCATTATCCTTTTAGCAGTTTCACAAAAGATCTTTGATTTAATATAAGTTTTCATATGATTTTTTGTGTATTTTACACAGTGAGCTCACAAAATAAGTGTAATTTAGGTTTTCTTTTTCTCTTAGGTAAGCATAATTATCGTTCAGTAATATCACCTGTAATATTCTGTAACCTTGCCATCTCATCACTGTCACAATAAAGAAATATATCTTTACTGCAGCAGCCAGACTTTGTAGTGCTGTGTTATTCCATATGGCATATAGTAACTGAAGTAAAGTACTTTTACTAGTGAGCACATATTTTAGCATTGCAGATGATGACCTGCCTTAGCCTATCTAAATATTTGTTTGTTTTGCATATGTAACACCCTGCAGTGATACTGGTTGCAATGTCTTAGATGAACACAAAGTGGCAGTGTTCTGCGGTTCAGTTACACAGATTATATTGAAGAAAAGCCTTGTTGGATTTATATGCTGGCAGCAGGACTTTGCTGTTTAGATAACAAGTGAACAGACTACATTTCCCAGAGTAGATGGCTATGGGGGGGGGGCCGGGGGGGGGGGGGGGTTGGGAGCATCTAAATACAGAAGAGCAGGAACCAGAATGCAGAAAGTAGATGGTGAGAGTGGGTGTGGAGAAGCCTGGGCAGGACGCTGGAGATCTGGATTGGGCCAAATGCAGAGGGTGACTGAGTGGGGAGGAGTTGCCGACCATTGCCATTGCTGACGGGCAGGACTGACTATACTGTTCAATAGGCAGTCGGATCAAAGTGCTGCCACCTGCCTTGTTCTTCTAATGAAGGATCCAAGAGAACATTGAGCCCCACCTGATCACCATGTCATTTATAACCCTACTGTGGATTTACAGTATTGCTGGGGTTAGTGTAATCAGGATATACCAGCCCTGGAGGGGACTGGTAGGTATTTAGTCTGCATTAAACTTTTCATAAAATAAAAAATATTGGCAATATAATTGTGTTGGACAGAGCAATGCACCTTGACAATTTTTTTTATTTGAAATTTCCATACACTGTTTCTGCTTTCGTATTATTCTACAGATATACTATAAGCTTTGTAGATTAATAACTGCAATTTATTGCTATATATGAGTTGGCCCTACTCGCCCTCCCAGCTTAACTGTTATGGAGATAAGATACGTCACACATTGGGGTTGATTTACTAAAACTGGAGAGTGCAAATTCTGGTGCAGCTGTGCATAGTAGCCAATCGGCTTTTAACTTTAGCTTGTTCAATTGAGCTTTGACAGAAAAACAGGCTAGGCAGAGCTGCACCAGATTTTGCACTCTCCAGTTTTAGGAAATCAACCCCATTGTTTTCAATTAATCAGCTGACTCTTAAACATGCATTATGATGAGGTGTAATGAATAATAACCACTTAGAACAGTAGACTGCTACATGTTTCATAAAGAGAAGATATAACACCACTATGTGGCTAAACTTCCCAAGCCCTTTATGCTTGTTACAGTAAAGAAAAAAGTTTATATTTCTTGAAAAACAATTATAATCACAGGCTGACACAAATGGTAGGAGTTTGCTGAGGTATCTTCAGGTGACTGCCACTTTTCCCTTCTCATTAAACCCACAACATTAAAAACTATCACATGTGGTTCACTTGGTCACTATGGGGTTACATAGTCTGGCTGAAGAAAGACAAAAGTCCAACCAGTTGCTAGAGGTTAATGCACATCATTACTGCTCACCCATTGGTTTCGGGAGCTGGGGGGGTGGGATAAGTGGCAGTGGTGGGGGGTGGGACCAGTCATCAGTGGCACTCACTTTTCGACTCGGCTTCCCCTCCTTGTCTCTCCAGCTCCCTCCACATGTCTGCAGTGACACCTATCCTGAGATCATGAGATAGGGTCTCCTCACTCAGCAGAGACCTCCTCCAGCTACTCCACCTTCACGGGTCAGCTGGCCTGTAGTTTCCACCCCCAATGGCCATGCCCCATCTGCCTGCAGCTGTGAACTCAATGGGCAGCCATGGAGAGGCTGAGTGAATGGTGCTGTGTGGTTGCTACAACAGTAACTTGAGTGTACTATGTCCAGCTAACCCCCCCCCCCCCCCCCCCCCCCACTTACAGTGGCGAAACACCAGTGCTCGGTTGCAAATGCAACCTTTGTGACCCTGGTAGTTCCGCCACTGGTGTGGGCTCATGGTGCAACTGCTTTGTACTGCACAACAATAACTGGACCACAGGAGGCTGCGCCTTTTTGCCCTGCGTTAAAGACAGCCCTGCATTCTACACTGACAATTTAGAAATGCCACACAAACCAATAAATGTATATAATAAGACCTTTTTGTAAGCCACAATTAGCTGAGAGGAACATATTTCTCAATAATACACAAATACAAGAAATTAGTGCTGCGCTCTGATGTGTGTATAAAATTTCCAAACTTATAAGTTAATTCCAAATTTTATATCTCTTCCAAAATTAAACATGTCCACGTTGCATCTGTGATAATACGCTCCTTCAAGTGATGTGGACAAATGAACTATTACTTAGTTCACCTCTGATGTGTTATCATAATTCTTCACTTCACAATGTCCACAAGTGTAAGAAGCATTCTTCCCACTGACCACACTAATTGATCATGAGTTGTAAAAATTGTGTTTTTTTTTAATTATGGCAAACACCAATTATAGTAGTACAAATATACGACAACAACATGAGTATGGACATTGTATATAGCATAGACAACATATAAAATGATAGAAAGTTAACCAACAGCATGATATAACTGTGTATAGTAACAACATAGGATAACACAGACTTGCAAAGGGAATATGTGTAAAACAGAATAGCGATTTAGGAAATGTCAGGGGTATATGAGGGGGTATTACCAAAGGGAGATTGATCCCGTATTTCCAAAGTGGCCTTAAAATGGCCTTGATAGTCGCCAGTTAAAGCTGTAAGCTATTCCATATCTCTAATTTCAGAAGTCAGTTGTAATCTTCTAGCAGCAGTCAGTATATGAACCCCTAGCTTTTTAGAATGTTTAGGAATTCCCTTAAATGGGATGCCTAAAAGGTAATGAAGTGGATTTAAAGGGAGAGCTACATTTAAAACTTGTTCTAAGACATTTTTGACCATATCCCAGAAGCTCTGGATCTGAGGGCATAGCTAAAAGATATGTACCAGAAGAGCTCATTCCACCTAGACCTCTTCAACAACTCTCAGACAACGTCAAGTTTATAGCATGTAAGACAACAGGGGTTTTATACCAATGCATCAATATTTTATATAGGTAACACATCAGGAAGTTTTAGTGGCTGACTCCCAAATCATCTGCCAACATTTTAAAGGTATTGGACGTTGAAGGACTTCCTCCCAGTTACTCATATAACGATGGAGACTATCTTCTAAAGGATCGATATTGAGAAGTAATTTATACAATGAAGATCTAAGGTACAGCTGGGAGGGACCTTGAATAGCTATTCTTTCAAAGTCCATAGGGCGATCCAATGTTAAAGAAGACCTAAGGGCGTGGAAAAATTGTCAAAATTGAAGGCAAGTATACCGAGCTTGTGAGGGTATTGAGGGTTTCCACACCCTGATCTCCTCAAATTATTTAATCTTAAGAGTGGCCGGATTGATTAAATGATGAAGCTGAAACATCCCATTAATTGCTCATAAATTCATTTGAGTATAGAATAGACTAGTAGGGATTTCTGGGTTCTATAAAATATTTATCAGAGAAGAGCAGGCAGACAACATATGAGATTTTATACAGATCGACCATACCTTAAGGGTAAATTTCATAGAATTAGGCACGGGGGGGAGGGAGATTAGGGATGATGCGGAGTTTAAGGGGCATAGTAATGAGCAGGTGTGAATGAGATATAAATGGTTTAATTCTATCTCCGACCATCTGTTATAGGGAATCTGGGAAAACCAGGACAGTTTTTGTCTTAAGTGAGTTGCCAAATAATATTTAATTATATCCGGAGCCCCCAGACCACCTCTAATTTTTGGAGATTAAAGTACAGTTTTTGCTATCCTGGGCTTTTTAGCGTGCCAAATAAATCTAAGGAACGAGCGTTGCAGGGTCCGTAATTGAGACTGTGGAACTGCAACTTAGAGTGTCTCAAAGAAATAAAGATGTTGAGTTTACAAAAGCTGCTCTAACATGTTTATCCTACCTAGAAAGGAAATCTATTTATCCCACTGATTCAGGAGGGCATAAATTTCTTTAAACGAGACGAAAGTTATTTTCATATAAAAGTAAGTATTTTGGAGGTTATACGAGTACCCA